CAATGAGGAAAGTAATCTTGACCATGCAAGACAAAAAAAAAATACATGAAAAAGTATACATGACTTAAGGGACATTGTAAATCTTGACAACATGTTTTATAATCACTACATGTTTTATATTGGGTCTATATATTCGGCCACAATTGCGCGCACAGGCCAGTAGCAGTCTGGAGCAGTCCTGTGTGGAGCCCAGTGGGGATCAGGCCTTTGAGACCCCGGCCTCCAGAGAAACAGCCACTTTCCTACTGGGGCTTACTGTGCACTCATACAGCTGTCTCCAGCACAATATGTCAGCTCAGCAGCGCAAAAGTAAAAATCAAGTAGAGCAACTACAATATACGCAAGAGTTATACTGCAACTAATAATTATATTTATTTTATATATATATATATATATATATATATATATGTATGTATGTATGTATAGCCCACCCCTAGATTATTCCAGACTAAATAAACAATATTGAAAAATCGAAGAAAATGTAATGCACATTATGATGTAATATCTGACAATAAAGCTGAGTGAATTGAATGAATTAGTGTACAACCACGTGTAGAGGCATTTCAGGATCCACCGATTATGAAATGACCAGACCTTGTGAAAGGGCATGAATAGAATGGTAAAGGGGAGCAGTGGACCAGAGGAGTAGCGGTCCATGTGTTTTAGAGCACAAAGGAGGAAAATGTCTTCCTCTAAGACCTGGCACTGGGACAAGGCTGAGTGCACAACTTTAGACCACAGGGTGGGGCATACCGTTTCTCCAGTCAAATGAGAGAAAAATAGCAGCTGGAACATGAGACATTTAGTGAGAGTAAGGCAGAAGTAACAGACATCTTAGAATGGAGAGGAACATGGCAGCCGGGAGCACAATCAATATCTCCATAGACATCAATTGTTCAGATCAGGCCTTAAGCCAATCAGCTAATCCTGGCCAAATGACATGGACAGAATGCATAATTAAACAGCATTCTGGGTATTTTGGGGACAACTACTATTACTAATAGACTGATTAGCATTTTGTTGCAATTCTCAAATCAACAAGCCACAAATTCACTCGTAGAACAACGTGTTCCTTTAACTCCATTGGTCAAATCGAATCCCATTAATTTCAATTTACACCAATGGCACATCAATGACCACGCAACCTCAGGAGAGATGAAAGGATCTTTGTGCTTGAAGGAAAAACAGCAGCTATTATTCATGAAGCTCCAACATTTTCTGAGAATCTAAACTATAATTTGTCTTTTTTGTTTACATTTTAGAAAAAAGAGGTCTAAGATCACTCAAACAAGTGTTCTCAGGGAACAACTTGCTCAACCACAAGTCCTGTGCTGCCCAAGTTACGCAACTGCATCTTCAAATATGAGGCCTGTGTAACGGCACCTTAGGCATACTAATAAAAGGATATTCATGCATCACATAACGTGTATATTATTCAAGAATAGAATCTAGAGTCTGAGCCCGATACACATAAACAACGAGCACTGTGGCCAAAACTGTAAACTAAAAATTATTCAACTTTCTACAGCTCAAATCTTTTCAAATTGTAAATACATTACATTATATTTGACAACATAAATGTAGACATAATAAGTACTGAGCGTAACAATAACATTGTTATTTTTTTCAAACAATAATCATTATTGTAAAAGCTCAAACTAAAAAGGTGTAATATAGTTATAGTAAAATGATTTAGGGCTAGGCGATTACGGTAATCATCTGTTGAAAATAGTCAAAAATATTAAAATAGTGAAATTGAAGAAAGGATATGGAGTTCCGCTTCCACTTCTTCGGGCCTCCGTAACATAAGTGTAAACCAAAGTGCAGTCCACCTCAAGGCTCCAGAAAAGACACATTATATTTGTGCTGTCACCACATGTACAATACCACACTTTTATGATCAGCTTTTTGGGAATATCGAAAATCCATTTAAAACTTGATTACAGAGGAAAAATATATGATTATTTTAAGCAAAATCACCCAGTGGTCTTCAGGGTAAATTTTGTCCAGAGGCAAAGTGGAAAGGAGGGAATAAAATCTGTTGGTTAATACATAAAAGGTAGAATGGCATGGACGTTAACTACGCACAGTAAAGTCTCGCACTCTCCGTGAAATCAAAACATATTTTAAAAATGTGCAGGTTGACAGAATATGCTCCCAGGTGAGTTAACCACCTGCCTAAGACATTTACGGTGGAATGTCGCTCATACGCAAATTTACATCAACATGTTGTCGCCCTAAGGTCATATTCAAGATATCTGAGAGATGAGCAGAAAATATTGTGAAATTGGGGTGAAGAATAAGGGATTATTGCCAAAGACTATCTAATGCCAGACCGGCAGACAGACAGCCCTGGTATGAAGCTGTGGATCAAAACTCCAGCACACTCAGTCAAATTCAATGAGTAACCAAATTAAAACTACTAAACATAGAAGTTATTAAGGTTAGGGTTAAAAGTAGGGTTGTCAAAAATCTGATTAAATCATATTGAAACAAGATACTGGAGAAAGTATCAAGACTGAAAAGTATAAAACCTTGTGGTTCCATTAAAAGTCTATACATTGTTATTTATGTCAAAAAATCAAGTTGTCCAAATTTAGAAATTGTTTAGAGTACCATGTTTTAAAATTAGTATCAACTCTAGTTCTTAGTATCAGAATGGAGTTAGTAATTTTAGTATTGTGACAAGGATGTTGCATGTTTTTTCACCATGGGCCAAAGATGAGAAATGGAACAGGTTAAAAGAAGCACTCAAACCAAGATAAAACAAAATAGATACAAATATAAATAAAAAATAAAAATAGTAGAATTACTTTTAGAATTAAACTAATGCAGAGGTTTTCTTCAACACAACTCAAGTTCTATACATACAGTGAAGTGAATGCCACCACTTGAAATCCGATAACCGCTCACACTAACATATTTTAATGCCCAGTTTGTACGGGAGCGAATAAGAGCCAAGTCACATCCCACAGTGACTCATACTTTCTGTCGTTACTGCGCTGTAATTCTATCATAAACTAGTCCCCCATATATTTCTGTAAGATGACACCTGAAAGTTCTCCAACGTTATAAAAAGGCAAAAACATGGAAGAATTTGAAGACTGGTAATATTTGTGTGGTGCGACAAAGACAAAAGGGCTCTGGACGCGAGGAGCTTTTTGTAGACTTCGTGTGGCTCATATGGAAGTAATTAAGGAGTATGGCATCTGTAAATATGGATTGGCAGCGCGGGCCAGTAACAAAGATGGCAGTTGTGTGCAGCTTTTTTAAACAACAACTCTGCAAAGCTGATTCAGCACAGAGCAGTAAAGCGAGGTCTTGTCATCCACACCTATAAAAGCCCTTCATATTTCAGGACGAGGACCCAAATTTATGTATATATTTCAATCTATCCCAATATAAACCTATCTTGGCGGTGGATACGAGTTTGTATCTAAAAACTGTGACCGCTTTATCAAACACAGCATCATGGCACCTGGTGGTTAACCTAGAAACTCCTCAGACAGCAGCAGCCGTTTCTAACAGACTTATTCTATTACAGCCATAGTGTAGTAAACATTTCTTCATTTTTGGGATTCTTTTTGTGGCAAAACACAAAGGTCCCAGTCTGAGACAGTCATGATAATAATATATAAAATGTACAGTATTGCTGATTGCTGTGTGTCTCTTGGTCTATGTGTTTAGTTCCACTGTACACCGCAGCATTTCAGTTTATTCTAATAAACCTGAATGTGAACCAATGCAATGTGTAAGTGTAGGGACACATGGATCCACATCTGTGAGGCTGTACTAGGGCCTGCTCGGGCTTTCATTGACAATACTTCAGTTCATTCATAGACGTCAGAGGCATGGACCTCTCATTCATAGAGCCAGTGTGACAGCAGACTTGAGTAGGTCTATTTCAAAGTAAGGCAAACTTTTACACCACAGCCAAATAAATATTTTTGAAGGTTATACCTGGTAAAATAAAGGTTAACCATATTAATACAAAACATTTCAGTTCCATTCTAAACACTGTCTAGAGAGGAGCGGCATCCACATTGTTTTGGACAATCTGAGAACTCTGACATGACTTCTAAAGTGTAAAGAAGCCAAAATAACCCAGACTACAACTCCTTTAGGCCCATTCCTTTTAGTCTTAAAGTTGATCATTTTTCTCAAACTAAAACAAAAATTCTGAATGTATGGCAACAGGAAGAAAGCGGAGAGCTTGTGGCCATGTAACACCACACTACCATCTGCAGAATAACAAGCTGAACATATTCATTCATATTGATTATCTAACGTCACTCCGCTACGTTTATGTGCTGCTCATTAAACAGAGGATAATGCACGGCCTCAACAGCCCAGCGCTACTGATGCTGTGAGGCGCCAGGCAGCCATTTAGGTGCATATGGAGGCTACGTAAATGGCTGATGCATTTGCAATGTTTCTTCCTAATTGCTGAACCATCATCAACCCCCAGGTCTTGCGCCTGCTACGCGTAACCCCGCCACGTCCCAGCACTTCACCCCGTCAAAACCTCCTTCTAAAAGCTTTTTAACCCCAATGCTCCCATGTTATATCAGCAGGATAGGATTTTTGGGCAGAGTGACTCTCTCCTCGGTCTGATTTAACCTCTGGAGAGTGTGGATCAAACAATGAAGAAGCATTCCGCACGACGCTTCATCACGATGCCGTCACAACATTTGCATTTACAGTCAAGAATGTATTCAAACGAGGACACATTTACATCCACATACTATTACATTTCTGCTGACAGCACCAAACAACAAGAGCGTATCAAAGGGATTGACCAGCTGTCGGCGACGTTTGCTGGTGGCCAACATGTCAGCCTGAATCAATAAATAGCAACGCAAAGGCCCTCTATTGTCTGTCCGAGCATTGGATTTGGAAGAAAACACAACAGATAGCAGTGTGGCGTTGGATGAAGCGCACGGCTACAATGTAAAGGCTGCGTGGAGAGGAGCAGGCCGCGCACGCATCCCCGGGCTCACCTGTGCGTCCTTCCCCTCTGTGAGTACAGTCTCCGGGTTCACGGTCCGGTCCTGTCGCTGCGGAGGCACCTCACCACCAGCTCCCGGCACCGGCAGCAGCACTGAGCAGCCTATTGGGCCTACACAGCACCCTATTGGACCTCCACAACCGCCCCGTCCCCTCGCTCAGGCAGACGCGATGCTCATTGGACAGACGAGCAGTGTGGAAGAGCGAGGGCCCGACGCCATTGGCTGCTCAGCTCCACACAAAAGCCAGACAGGAACCTGGTTGGTTTGAAATCCCATGTCGGCGGAGCCAGCCGGATGGTTAATTGGATGCTTGTTCCTCAGCGTAGCGAGAGAGACGACACATTGGTCTGTGGGCTTGTTGTTGTCTGTGTCTGGAGCAGGATGGAGGATCTTACAATAGAGCTAGACCATTACAGACGTCAAGTCCAGGTTCGCGATCAGGTTTAGTGCTATTATTGAGGAATATACATTACAAGGTGTTGAGGCGGATTGAACTAGAAAATGGATAAAGAATAATATACGGATGCATTGTCTAACATTGACATCGATGTATGATTGCGCATGAGAGGCTGGAGCAGTGGCTGATTAACACTTAACGATTGGTTAGACTATGGAAGCATCCTTTACATAAACACAACGCTTTATTCCAACGCTCTAATAAACGAGGAAGCAGACCCAGTGGACACAATGATGCCTTTCGGAAGTTTTGCCACAGCCGCAGTGGTTCTGGCTTCTGCATTTACTTCAGTTATTGTTTAATAATTGCCTTTTGTTAATTAATAAGACTATTGCAACGCGCTTGTTTATCATTACATAGATGAAGGAAAAGTAAACACATTATGCCTTTACACCTTCATATATGGTCCAACATTTGAACTGTGATTGTTTTATGGGCACAGGTTTACTCATAGGCTACACCTTCGCAACAATGAGGTCTATAAGGCCCACGGTGTAAACTAATCATGTAACCTAACTATGTAGGTCATGTGGCCATTGAAAAATGAGTTGCGCACGTGGCCATGTCGCCATCTTGCGTCTGTCTGTCATACTACTGTTTTTGAGCTATTCTACATTACAAACGGAACCCACAATATTCTCTCTTGAGCCAGGAATCAACTCAATCTTGTTATCGGTCGTGGATTATTCCACGATACAGTGCTCCTTTTAAATAAGCAGTAAGTCGCATCACGTGATTTAACGACGCTTGGCATTCCGCTAAGAAACTGATAAAAGTGAAAAGACTTCAGGAAAATTCAATCTACACAATCCCACCACTAGATGGCGTAAACACGTAACATTTAGCGCATAGCTCAATAAAAAAGTGAATATTCATGGCCACTCCAGTTTTAGTTAAATGTGCTGAATAACAGATCCAAGAGGAAGGAATTTCACTAAAGACTAATATTAGTATGACCTTGTTGTATTGAGATGGACCTTCTGATTTCCAGTTGAAGTCTGACAGGGAGCACAGATCGGTAGATTTGGATTGTCAAATGTGTGTTGGGTGTAACTAAGTTATTAATATATAGTGACTTTTAGGATAAAAACAACAACATTAATTTAGAATCAAATCAGATCACAGCTTCTGAACATATTAGAGTCTGTTAGTTGCAACATCAATTAGTTAGTTAGTTTTTGAGTGGTGAGATTATCTTTTCTGCACAGCCAGCTTAAACATGAAGAATATTCAATGTGCCTGAAGTGAAGCCCTCAGGCAGAAGCTCTGCTGTCACTGACTCCTCAAAAACATGCAGTGGTGCTACAGAGAGATTTATATCAGTTACTTAAGTACACAGACATTTGTGCATGTATCAGCAAGCTATATCCTCTTACAAATAAAGTCATCCTCCAGTTTTTCAGGCAGTATTTTTATTTTTTCTATTTCTTTATTGACTTTTCTTTAACCAAGAAAGTCCCTCTGAGAGTTCCATGTTACTCCTCTTCTGGGACGATGACCTCAACACATTTGAAAACTTAATGACTGCCTATGGTTTTTGAAAAGACAATTTTGCCTTTTGTTCCTATCTGGAAAACAAGATACTGCATATCTGAGACAGTGAAGATTTGAATTATCTACTACTGTGTAGTTAAGACATATTTAAATCAAATAAAGCTGTGGTAGTACTGAATAATCACTAAAATACATTTGTGGACGTTTATTCTTAATCTGAATTTGACTAGGACAAAATATATTGGAGTATTGTTCCAAGCACCAGAAAAAAATCAGTTCTCTACAATTCTTTGGAAATGCTTCATGCACAGTACATTGGCCCAAACTTCCTTGACCTTACATTGTAAATCAGACGACACAGACTGTTACTAATACTACTACTACTTACTTTAGCTTGTTTGTTTTAATGCATTTAACTTAAGCCAGGTCTCTCTCTTATGTGTTGATCACATTTAAATGCCACCATTGATGCAACACAAAATGTATAATAATATTGTAATAAATTACTGACAACTGGTTTTACAATATCTAAAATGAATAACAAAGAATTCACACAGAGACAATTCATTGAGCACAGTTGGTTTATTTGGTTTCAGGCATTTGTTGAAGGCAAAAGAGGAAGGTCAACACAATCCAGACTGAAAGGACCGAAAGCTGAGACCAAGCTGGACCTGGCATTTCTATGCCCCATAAGTAACAATATATACTCATCTTTTAGACTACATAACCAATTATATTAGCTTAATCATCAAAACAGTGCTTTCTATAAGTGCCTACGTCAAATGAAAGATGCACGACTGACTTGGTCTGCATGCGTTTGTTTCTGTGTTAAGTGTTCAACATGTAATGTCAAGTGCTAGTGTTGTTTTAGTTATAAACTTAAACTAATAAACTAATACTAAAATAAATAAACACCATTATAATGATGTCAGACTATGCCTGGTGACATAACTTCATTCACAGCTTGGTCTCTGACTTCGTTTCTCTCATGCCCAAGTTGTTTGGTCAAAATCTGGACTATGTTGAGCCTTTCCAACTTAATTTGGCCAAAAGACCAATGAAAAAACAGTAAAGCACTTCATATTATTTATACATTTTTTTAAAGCATTGTTTTTCGTTGGTACGAGCTGCCTATTTCTAGAAAACTACATTTTTTTCATTTTAACCAGTTATTACTTTGCTTTGTCTTTGAAAAATAAATCCCATCTTCAAGACAAAAACTCGTACATAGACAACAAAATAATAAGCATAAGCATGTTATAAAATCTAACAGCAGTAACATTCATCAGAAAACTGGTTTGGCAACTTTTGTGTGAACAGAAATAACAGAAGACTCAAATGAAAAAGAAAATGAGAATTATTTCAAATAGGTTCTATTTTAAAACTAGTTAAATCTCTACACACTTCACACTACAAAACCTAGAATTTATAGGTCTTTCATATCAAATACACTTTTTGGTTTCATGTTGGTTTTGTGGAGTAGAAAAAATAATGGAGACCCTTTTAAAAAAGTCACTGCTTTTGGCAAACCTTAGAACAATCACTACCCTCAAGGACAAGCTTAAAGCAAAACACATTTTGTTTCAGCACAGACTATCTTTCTGTCGTAGCAAATGTGGAAATGCTCTCCTCGAGGTTTATTAAGGTTGGTGCTTTGGCTAAGAATATCGTGGAGACCATGACAGTAATAAGTCCTGGATTTTTGGTTACAATTCAGCAGGCTTTGTATTTGGTGCCTGTAGTTCCAATGACTTCTGCGATCATGGTCTTTCCAATATTTCCATACAGTTCCTTTTGGCCACTCTTCATTCTGTTGTATGTGTTACATTCTACAAAGACTGAACTTGTTCAAAGGTTTCCAGTGAGATATGAGGTCAGTAGACATATTTGGCTTGAGTTCAGTTAAAGCACTTTACAGATCTAACAAAGGGAAAGCTACAAGTCAATTTAAAAAAGATAAAAGAAAAACCTCCAAACGTGTACATCTTTGGGTGTCACTTGGTTTTCGAGGAACTTTTGTCTTTTTGGGGAGACTGACACAGGGAAACACAAGCGTTCTCTGTGCAGTCAGACAGGCACACATTCTCTTCCTTCACATCCGAAACTGCCAACTCACTTGGCATGTATGGCTTTAAAATGGCTTGATGGTCCAAAGGAAGAATTAGGTTTTGGCTTCTTTTCCGTTTTCGTCTTGTCGGGCTTTACAGCCTAACATCAATGGCTTCAAAAACACAGGAAGTACACAGGTCCATATAAGGCCATGGCATACTTGTGCAGAATATAGGGTTTCAGGAGCGTGGGCAGGCCACATGTTTGCAGAGCAGGTAAAAGTTTCCTTAAGCAGAAGGTCGGGTCATCACGTCCAGGGCAGCACAGTGGAGTCCTCTCGGGTGTTCATCAGCACAGGTCTGCACACCGGCACTGGCACTGATCAGTAATGTCCCGCTCTATTTTAGTTGAGGTAGGTTAAGAACAAGCAGCAAAAGTGTATGGCTTTTCATTCTGAGGTAGCGTTCTTTGGAGATGAGCGGCAGTTGGGTGAGGAAGTAGAACTATGGCTTTAAGGTTTATGGCAAAAGGCCGTCATCTCCAAGAGCTAAGGCCACTATGTACTATTCCCTTTATTATTGCGGAGACTCTGAAGGCTATATCCACATAATGCACCGCAATGCATTATAAAGTCCACATCAAGTGAGGATATTTGGCATCATTTTAAAAATAGCACACATTTCACATGTCACTTTTTCTGCAAACATCTGAATAAAAATATTATTTTGGTTAGGCGCAGACACTAGAGAAAAGTGACATTAGAATATTTGGTGCACATAAAGCACAGCTTTTTGACAGCTTTGTAGTTAACTTAAAGGCTTTAAAAATGCACATCTGAATGTGCACAGGCATTTGAGGCATTCACTTTGGTTTGAGGTAGTACTAGTCAGAGGGGAAGACGTGTTAAGGGTTGAGGGGTACAGCTTATTATTCTGCTTTGCACATGAATTAAAGTTAGCAGCATGAGCAGTGAGGAATATTCTCATGGCTCAGCAAAAGCTTAGGATGGCTGTTGGGGTTATTTATTGTAGGAATAGTTGGGTATGGGGGACTGTAGTACTGATCAGTGTTACCCAGTGCCTGGAAAACCAGCTGCGCTTTGCTCTATAACCACCTGACATTGTGCCGCCTGTTGAAAAGACAAAAGCAAATTCATTATCTCATAACCAATGAGATATGTGTGCACATATTAAATATTAAGTCAATATGAAGTACCTGAGGTTGTGACTCGAGTTTTGAAGAATTAGCTCGATCTTTATGAATGCCATTCAGATTTTCTCTGGGAACAGCCCAGCTGTCTTGGGTTCCTTTATTGCAAAACAAGCTAGAAAAAGAAGTGGATAATATCAGAACACATTCTTATTCTGAATCAAAATTGAAGAGAAAAAAAAATCCTATAATTTAGCCTAAGATCAATACGATCATCATGCATACCTGTGGCGGTATCCAAACATGAGGAAGAGAACACAGAAGATAATGCAGGCAGTGCCAATGTGAATGCCGATGACAACACTGCCCAGAGAGGCATCTCCCTCGCGACACTGACACCCTATGATGCACACAATAACATGGTTATATTCAAGCATAAATAATTAATAATTAAAACAGTTAAGAAGTAAAAATACAGTTTACTGCATCATGTAAACTCACCAGTAGTTTTGGCACTGGGTACTTCCTCTGCCAGTGACACCAGTCTTTTGGAGCTGTCACTCTCTCCGTTCCCGTTGTAAGCCACCAGTTTGATTTCATACACCGCCTCACCTTCTACACAAGGGTTAAAGAAGTTACAGAAATTCATAATGTGCATAATATACAAGCAATTGTAACAACATAGTTCCTTTTTCCAGACTCACCCAAGTTGATGATGGTAAAGACATTAACATGGAAGTCTGTTTGGATGGGCCCCTGAAAGTCGGCACTTGGGACTCTGCGGTAGTACAGCCGGAAGCCCTCAATCTTGCCTGGCTTAGAGGGGAGCTGCCATAGCACTTGCACAGCAGTAGAGTTCACCACTTTAGTGAAGTATGTTGGAGCGTCGGGCACTGGACACGTACAATAACCACAGAACATCCTTATTCAAATCAGCGGTACCTAACTTATCTTCATAAAATGGAATAATTGGTGAAATGATATGAACAAAGCAGGCCACAACATGCTGTCTTTATCATGATGGACCTAGGTGATGAAGGAGGACCTCTCTTTTTAACAATTCTGTTAGAAAAAGTCTAAACCTGTGACAGCAGCCAAACGTATAAATGTGAAAACCAGTGATAGAACCAAAATTGATTTTGTTTTATAGTTAATATTTTGTTTTGTTTCTTTGAAAGTTAGGTATCCTAGATAAAAGTAATATAATATCTTTCTCAAATTAAATGTATTATCTGACACAGAAAACCCCTTTTACCACTACCACACACAAACAAATCAGTTGTTTTGCAGAGATGGCAGGATGATTAATAACCCAACAACAAAGCTCAGATATGTAAAACTTTCTCACCTCCTCCCAGTGTAGTAGCCACCACGGTGTTGGACTGGTCACTGGCTCCCATAGGAGAGTAGGCCTTGAGGTAGATGGAGTAGGTGGTAGCTGGTTCCAGGTTCGTCAAATCATGTTGAAAGTTGCCTTTGCTTATGGCCTCTTGAAGCTCCATGTTGTCTGGTTCTAGTGAGATTTGAAATACATATATGACATTGTACCTTTTGTGGCTTTAGTTTCTACCCAGGTGATGGCTTAGGGCTTACCTCCCATCTTGCGGATGTGCAGAACGTATCCGATGATGCCGTCGGTGATGGCGGCTGGAGGCTGGTCCCACGTGAGTTGGATGGTGTTGCCGGACAGGGCGCTGGCGGTGAGGCTCTGTGGGGCAGCCGGGAGGTCTTTAGCCTGAGCGACGGCCAGACGAGCGCTGGCCTGGTTTGTGCCGGCGCCGTTTTCAGCAATGCACTGGTAAATGGCTTCGTCTTCCGAGCTGATGCGGGTTAATGCCAGTGTACTGCAAAAAGACAACACAATTCAATGTTTTCTTAGGTCTACGAGTTTACAACGTTGGAAAGAATAGACAATAAAACCCAAGGTTCACTATCAGTTTTACCTGTTGTTGTTAGTCAGTTTCACATTGTTTCCAGGGACAAGCACTTTGCCATTCTTCAGCCATATGAGGTGAGGCTCTGGGACACCCTGAGCAACACATGTGAACACAGCACTGCCCCCTGCTGGTTTGGACACAGACTGTGGCCATTGCAGGAATTCTGGAGGAGCTGAGGGCAACATCAGAATATGGACATTATATATGGCTCAAAACAAGTCAAGTGAAATATTAGCTATACAATTTATACGATGAAGAAGCTCACATACTAAATGATACTTGAACAACATAAATTGACAAACTTTGGGAATCCTGAAAACTGTTTGTTGCTCCTCTTAGATTGGACTTCAATTAAACATCAGCTAAAACCTATATTTTGTCTCATATCTTATTAATTTAGGTTTTTTTTTTGTATATTGTGAAATAGAGAAAAAAGTGACATAATGTAACTAACTGTTATTAGCTTATATATGTATAAGAAAAAGGGACTATATACATTATTGAAAATAAATATAAGAATTATTTAACACTAAAAGGCAAACAATTAATAATCAAACAGCTATCGGCATCAAATATGTTTAATGTGTATCAACCAAGTCTTAGTAGAAATAATTAATTTCAATATTATTTACAAACAAACCACAATCATCTCCCTAACATAAAACGGCTTACTTCTTTTTATTCTTGTTGAACGTCCAACAAAGGAGTGTTTTAAAAATAAGATTAATCCCTGGCTGCTGTGATGGATGTGTTCTTATTGAAATGGCAATTTTGTAGCCACCACCCCCTTGTGGGGAGATGGTTGGGATGGCAGGGTCATGCTGGGGGTTAGGGTCAACAGATCAATCAGATGCTAAGCGTGGACCCCAGTAAAGAGCTTATGGACAGAGAGCAAATATTGTAGAATACATGGTGTTTTAGTGTCCCTGCTGAGAGCCACACTGGATGATAAAACAGTGCCGTGTGGAGGGACTTTGATTCCACAGCTCCAGTCCCCAGGTTTCAAAGTAGATTGTTTAGGCAGGGTTAGGTTCAGTGCTTTGTCCATTAGGTCTCTGGCAGAGCTGTCCACCCCTTCAGCTGCTCTGCTGTCTCGCTGCTGGACGTGTCAAGTGTCCTTAGCTGATTGTCCCGGTGCGGATCTATACTCAGTATTGATCTGTGATTCAGTTGACCTTGAATTTCACTCAGGTGTAATGTTGTTATGGCCCTTTGTTTGTGCTGTGGCCAAAGATCTATTTCAACTGACAATGTTTTGGTCATATGGACTTCAATCAATATTGCATTCATTAAAGAAATGTCTATTAAGAATCACACAAGGCTTATTACAACCCTCACCCATGTAACACACTACAACACGCATGTTAGAGCAGCAAGAAGTATTTACTCCAGCTATTTTTAAACAGAAGGACTATTTTTTTAAAGAATCATTCATTTAACTTTAACATTTTAAATCTGTTAAGTTTAAAACTGTTTTGCAATTCCAATATTTTCTTGACATCTATGTTAGTCAGCTCCCTGCAGTGAGAGGCAGACTCTGAGTGTGGGAAAGGCATCTCATATAAATGGTGAGAAATGAGGAAGTGAGATCTGCATTATAAAAGTTGTGCATCTCATCAGAGCGTATTGAGCGGCAGTCATATGGAGCCGGGGTGGGGGGACTGCCATATTTAACTGACCATCCTCCAATGGCCTGACCCTTCTTTGTGCATGTCCCGATTTGGTGACACCGGCCCAGGCTCATTCATCTCACAGCCGTCCTTAATTAACCCTGAGAGAAAGGCAGTCTCCCACACGAGCCCCTGCGCCTTCTGTCACGGTCAGTGTCAGTCTCTCCCCTCACCCAGAATTATAACATTCAACACATAAACTAGAATATGCTGTTATTATCATATAGCAGGTGCAGTAGGGGAAATTGTGTGGGAACCCTGTGGGAAAATGAATGGATTGGTAGTTTCAGCAAAAATCCATGTTATATAGATGTTATGCTACCTATAATATACTGTATATATTGTCATACTACTGACTATTTTACTTGCTTACTAATGCACCCCATACTTGCTAATCTATTACACCATACTCAACATGAATTATATAAATAGTATAAAATAACTGTTACCCTTTTTTTCTTCAACTAAATCATTGGTCATTTGTTTTTAGGAGAAGAGACTATGTTACTGTGTTTTTGTTATTTAAAATAATTTAGAGAATGTAGAGAAATACAAAAGTTTACACACCCACCCAGAGATTCCATTGTTTTGGACATATTTTGGAGATTATGAATGATAAGGTAGAACAAGAAAGACAATTGGCTCATGTTTATATGACATATGACTTCTCAGAACTTTTCTATTATCAAACATTGTAGAGTTGATCGTACATAATCTCTGAAATATGGCCGCAAATAACCACACATCTGTCTGTTTTTGGGTGTGTACACTTTCAATCACAATAGTCTTTAGGTTACATTAGTTAGAAATGATATTTTAAGACATAGCATAAAAGTGGTTGAATACATTCTGTGTGGTTGACCATGACCAAGTCTAAAAGGTCGTCTTTGTTCTGCTTCAAGCTCAATAATGAAGAAAAAGATCAATAAACAAATGCATATATTTAAGATCACCCCCACACTTTAACAATATTGCACCAAAGGCAATGTCCATCTCTGGATTGACAGAAGGAAGTATTTATTGATTCAGTCAAGACACCAATCACTGACAGAACAAGTGAAATCGATTGATAGAAAGCAATTGTTCTTCTCTTTTAGTTTGACTGGAGCTGAAGCTTTTGGATGTTTTTAGAATAATATCTTCTATCCTGCTTTTATTTTTTATGGATGAAATTGTCATATAAACTCTATCATTTCCTGTCAGAACACTGATCTATCATTTATGGCGAACTGCTTTTGGATACAATTACAATTATTATCTTAGTTGCAACATTTCTCTCCTGTAATCTGTGAACCTGAACTACAGAGACAGTAAATAGAAGTGATGGATTTGGAAGACATTGTGCTTTTTCTCTTTACAAAAACTCTTTCTGGCACTAATACAAGTTATAATAGTAAAGTATAGTTATAGTATACAGTATGTAGTTTCTTCACCAAAGAGTTGGGTTTGTCCCTTTCTCTCGTGTGTTTCTTTCTAATATTTTGCTTACTAGATTAATTTGTACTATTCACACCTGGTTTACATTTTGTTGTGATTCACAAACTTAATTTACTAACTGTTCTCATGCCTCATGTAGTATTTTCTCCAAACACTTTTATAATTCACTTTTACTTGATTAGGGATTAGGGCCATAGCTTTTTAGTTCCACTTTAAAGTATTACTTGAAAACATTTAGTCTAATCTATGCAGCTGTGACTAATACAACTATGCTCATTAACATAAACTAGAGGTTTAAAGCTGGATACAAAGAGCCTCTCCCTTTCATTTTCACCAGATGTAACAGGCCAATAAACATGCAGGTGGAAATTGATAGAACCAAATTATTTTGAGAGCTAAGAACTCGTCAAATGGATTCAGTGGCGAAATGACAGTTAATGTTAGTGGTTTGAAAGGTACCCCAGTTTTAAGGTTAAAGATTTTGAAACACTCTGGGAGGAAACTTGCCTCTAATACGTCTTGGATGGCCAATTACAAGGCAGATAATGGCACAGAGAAATACGAGAAGACCCAGAGTATGGACACCTTGCACTTGATGGATGAGCCCACACAACCCAGGGCCCTTCCCCATGATGCATCCCCCATTTACAAATAGAAACGCTCTGCTCACTGCTTAATTGTTGCCCTCAAATGGACAGAGGTGTCGGAGTGGGGAGGGGCTCCAGCTGCTGCCCCCACCCTGAAGGGCAGAGGTGAAAGGAAGGTGGAGCCTGACTATTGACCCTGCATATGCTTGTGTTATGAGGTGACTGTAATGAACAACTGTGCAAGCTAAGGCCAGTAAACCAAGTGCTCCTAGTTCAAATATAATTTACAGCATGCAATTGGTAATAAAATGGGTTATAAAGATAACACCTTGCTGCTCTAAATGCTGAGGTTTGATTAGTAGTAGTAGATTTGGTTATAATTTACTGAGCAAACACGGTCAATGACACATATATTTTCAAATTTGACATACAACATGGTAAAGGAGTAGCTTAGAGAAGTCAGATGTACAAGTTATAGGTCATATAAGAATGTAATTAGATTAGTTATATGGTTTTGTTTTGCTGATGGTTTGGCACAGTACTACATCAACAGTACAGTAAAAGAAAAAAAATTGAGCAATTTCTTTTTGATTTTATAAAACAATGATGAACCTAAATCATGTGTGATTACAGCTACTTAAGTGTATGAAAGTATTATTTGGAAGAGAGAAGAAATACCTCTCATCAATTAAAAATAACTGTGAAAAAGGCCTGTGATTAGGTCTTTCATTCAATATTTTTAAAGACTATTTTATTTCATTTAATTTCATTTGATTCAGGCCTTGTAAAACCTGAATGCAGGGAAATGATTGAGGAAGCAATGAGAATGCTGTTCCTACAAGTGAACTAATCTTTGAAGGTGTATTCTGGCCTTTTGATAATAATAATGGTGTAGTACTTTTTGCACACTGGTGATGTGCTGTGGCCACTACTGTAGCCACAGCTGCCCTGGGCCACACTGACTGAAACAAGGGAACCCGCATGTTCCGTACAGCTGACATTCAGGTGAAAGCAAGAGGTTAAATGATTATGAAGAAGAATGTCTCTATGTTTTAAACCATCTTAGTAACCCTAACCCTCTTTGCAGTTAGTTAAAATGCAATGTATCATTTCTTTGTAGTACTTTTTGAGTTCTGGCCTTACCTTGTACCACCAGTCTTCCCAAGGCAGTTCGTCTCATCCTGGTGCCAGGTCGGTTGGCAGCGCACACATACACGCCCGAATGTTGCAGAGACACGTCTGAAATCATTAGGTTCCCTGTTCCGAGAACCTGTATGCCCTCCACTCCAATAGACCGTCCATCTGAAGCACAAGAAGTAGATAAAGTAATACTGCTAAACTGTCATTTCTTTAGTAAAAAATAAATAAATCTGATATTGTACCGAGCCTGCTCCAGGAAACTATGGGCTTTGGGTTTCCTGTGGCTATGCACTCCAAGATGGCGGTCTGATGGACAGTCAGGGTCAGGTTCTGAGGTCCAGATAAGATGACGGGCTCCTTGTATGTTTTTATACCTGGGCCTTAAGAAAAAAAACCAAGAAAACAGAAATATATTGTTGCGTGTGTAAGAACAGTGATGTTTATCGTCATGCTTTGAGTGAATTACCAGAGATGTTGAGGGTAGCGTTGTGGCTGTAGCGGGTGTTAGCGATGTTAGTGGCCACACATCGAAACACACCAGTGTCAGCCTGCCGCACTCCGGTCACCTGCAGGATGCCCATTGGGAGGAGAGTGTACCTGAAGTTGGAATAAAGTGTCAGTTGTACATTTTGTGATCTGAATAAGCACTCCCAGCATCTGAGTGGAAAGTAAATGGTATATTTTTCTGTGACTTCTGTTTCAACCCTAAACCCAAACCTGTATGTAAGATGTTACTTTAGTGTATAGTTTGTTGTCCAATCAGAAAGCAGAATGTTTAGGTCACTACCCAAGCCACATCACATGTACCGGTAGACTGAATCTTATAGATGGTTTAAGCCAGAAATATATTGAAAGGGTTACACACGACTTAACATTGGAGAAAACTGATTCAGGATGCATCGGTCCTATAGAAGTAACTCTTTAAAATTGCATGTGCTATTTTGCTTTGCACACAAGATATTCCTGCTGATATTTCAGATACACCCATTAGTGTGCATTCTGAACACTGTTCCTGATCAGAGAAAATATTACACACTTTGGCACACATTTATTTTCAGCACTATGGCTAAAGCTGTTGTGTAACTGAAAGAGATTTGTGTAAAAGTGTTTCCAATAAAGTATGTCACAACAATATAACATAACAGTTCTGGGGAAGCCTGCAGGAAGTGCTTAAGGAGACCATTTTAGAAGTGGATATTTTCCAATCAGATACAGTTTTTAAAGAAGCACGGGAACAAAAATAATCAAAATCACATTTTTCATGGTTGCACTTGCACAATATTTTAACAATAACTTAACAAAACAAAAAAAAATAAAATATAGACAAAAAAATTACTTCAATTTGCAAACATTTCTCTTGGTTTAAATATATATTGAATATTTGTATCTTTCATCGTCTTTTTCCTCATTTATATAAACCGTCAACATGAGTTGCACAAATCAGGTCTGACTAAGACCTGACTAAAAATGTACAAGAAATGCTTGTACTATAGGTTAGAAACTTTTATACATTTTCTGAAACATGTGGGAAGCTTGTAGGGAGTCATTTCATGAAAGGAACTCTCTTGAAGTGGTTATTTTGATATTTTAATCATTCAGAATATCGAAAATTGAATTGCAATCACAATGTTGGTTAGGAATAGTGCAATATTTTTTTGCTTAAATCATATAGCCTTTGTATAGACATTTTAAGCTAAACACTGAAATCCTAGTTATATTTTTGTTTTGTCCACTTGGCCCATCACCTTTTGTCCGAGGTGTTGAGTGCGGCTCTGTCTCTCTCCCAGGTGATGTTGGCTTCAGGTACCCCGTTAATCTGACACTGAAAGCGGGCCACTCCTCCCTCGTCCACCTTCATGGACACTGGGTGAGTGTGGAACTTTGGCAGAGCTGAAAAACATTCAGAAAAACGTATTAATAAAGATAGTCTTTCTATGCATTGAGTTTTTAGAACGGCGTCTAAAAAAAGAACATTGTACAGTGTGCTGGGAATGTTTCCAGTCGTCTTTTGTGGTTGTCAGTTTTTCAATTTTTTTGTTTCCAAAGAAAGTAAAACAAATATATCTCTCCCACTTACAATGTCCTGTACCTCATTTGGGCCTCCACATTTGTTTTTATTACACAGGTGCCTATAGTAACTAAGTTGCTTGTTAATGTTGTATGTTTGGTCTTTGTAGAACTCAAAGCATCACTGTGAAATCATGATTTCATTAATTTAAGGATAGTAATTATTAGTGGTTAGAATTAGTTTCATTTGAAACTAATATTTCTTACAAAAACAATAAACAGGATACAAAATCAGTAATACAGTATGAAGATGTGAGTATAACTTAACTTTCCTTTCATGAAATAGAATTTTTGTGTCTTCCAGAGTTTGAGTTGTCAGAGCACCAGATTTTAGTTTATAATTCTCTTCAATCAGTGCTGTAATAATGTATGACAGGAATGTTTCAGAAATCTGTAAAATATCTTTGTCAAGTTCAACAATGATTTTCAGTTTTGTATAAATTCAATCAATCAATTATTGAAACTTGTGGCTTTTAGAAAAGGCCAAGGAAACTCATAGCAATATTTATAATAATATCGTTCTTGGGTCTGGCCTATTCTCACCAAGAATGTGTCATCTTTGCAGTCTGCATGTTATTTTTCTGACAAATGTAAGTAAATGTTGTGTTTCTCATTGTGTTGTGGACTTACATGCCATTTGGACTTTGGCTTTGCGACTGACCAGCAAGCCATATCTGTTTTGAGCAGCACACTCGTACTCGCCCACATCCGAGTCGCTGCCTTCTTTCCGTTTCTGAAAGTTCTGGATGAACAACGTGCCGTTTTCCAGGACTTGGACTCTGGGACTGATGGGGACGGCCACACCATTCCTCCTCCACGTCAACATTATGGGCTCATCTCCTTGGACCAGGCAGTCCAACAGGAGCGGCCTGTCCCGTACTGCGATCACATCACTGGGCTCCAACAAGAAGGACAGCTCTGAGGCAAAAGCAAAACCTGCACACAATAATAAGAACAGTATTGGTTAAGAGGATGTTGATAAAAGTCTATAATAAAATGTTGAACATATTTTCTGAATAATTGTATCCATATCAAGTAAACATGACCATTATATCATGGTATGTCTGTTGCATGAAGAATGCAGACAGGCTGACATTGTCCTGAGTCTGAGCTATGTGAGAATACTGGGGAAGGTCAAATTCACAAAATGTCTAAAGAACTAAAGAAATGGGGGATGATTATGACAATAGTATTGTGAGAACTTATTTGCAGCCCACCCCCTGTGTCCTATGATCCACGTCCTAGTCCAAGGCCACCATCTGCCCCCTCCTGAGTCTCCTCCACCCCCTGGTCTCCTTCAGTCCTTTCAGTTTGCTTTCAGAGGTGACTTTCCCATGCCACCCAAGTCCCCTCTCCTCCCTGACCTTTCTGACACTTGCACTCTCTTGCTTTTCTTTTCTTTATTTTGGTGTCTCTGTATGCAAATCAGGTGCAAATGCCTGTCTCTCCCACAGCTGTGAGGCAAACCCCTGCTCTTGAACTTGCATGATTCATTATCAATGCCATTTTAAGCTTTTGCATCTGCTCACCCCGTCTCATCTCAGATGTGAGATCAGCGACACCATCTATTGTTCTCTCCATCCCTTTAAAACATTTCCCACACTGAAGCTTGCAGCTGAACTTGACTGTGGCCTAACATTTGGATTATTTATGACATCCCTAAACTCCCTTAGATAAATGGAATAGATATCCTGATTTGTGTGGGGGTAGAAATTATATTTATCCATTGCCTAATGTAGGTGAAATGACACATAATCTTAAATCCAAGTAAATATAATGATTTGGAATAAAAAATACTAGATTTTTTTTAAAAATAATGTTGTGTTCTCAATTCATATCTATAAATACAATTAGCTTTTTGACACAATCTTTACCTTATGATACTTAATTTTGCAATTTTAACTTAACCCTTTAGACCCCAAAGTAGTCCATGAGCTTTTGAGTCCAGGACACTTTCTATACAACAAACCAAAAACACAAAGAAAACACATTTTTATAATGTTTCACATACAATCCTTAAAATAATGGCACCTAAAGCTTTAATCAACTTAGTATAAAATGTTTCTATGTGTGAGCTACTGTGTGATAAGTATTTCTGTGGTGGATCATTACTGCATGTACCTCATTTAAATTCATTACCATGCCATTTCCAAACTGAACTAACAAACACCTAAATGAAATAATGGGTCATGGTGTAAAGTGTAATACAGCGGTCCTTCAGTGTCATTCTCATCTTTTATATGTAATATTGGTAAACTGGATTAAATATGTTGCTTTTGTTGTGCACATCAAAATGCATCCATACAAACTACCTCCATGTCAGATCATTAAAATGCTACAAGTTCCAACAAGCAGTGAGCTACATGGGGAGTGATGAAGAGCTCTCAGTGTGTTCAATATAAGGCTGCTATAATGAGATTTTTTAAACAAGCCAGTTGTCCAGCAACCCCCACTCAGTCTCTCCATAATGCTGAGCCCCTCAGGGTCATGAGAGAGTCCAGGCCAAAAGGATGGATGTGCAGATGCAGGAGGGGGAAGATTGTGTCCAGTCATGGCTGTACCCCCAACACCCCCACTGCTATTGTTTATCTCCATTTCACTTGAACTTCAGTGTTGTGACCCCCCCCCCCCCCCCCCCCCCCATCTGAACAGAGGAGGTCTGAGAACAGCAGTCAACACATTTGTGGTGACATTGAGTGTCAGTTCAGTGTTTTCAAAATAGTGTCAGTCCTGTTTACATTCATGTGGGCTGATTCTAAAGTGCTGATTCATGTCAGTATAACACATCTATATCCACTTTGCATGGCAGAGAAGATATAACTAATGATCATCTTCTAAAGCTGCAATGGAAGCACTATGCCTCTCCTTCACACATGCAGAATGGCTCCTTATGAGAATCTTTTTGGGCTGTTATATAAAACAGGCTCTAAAGTCTGTGGAGGCCTCAAGTTCAGTGTGCCACAACCTTACATCTCACAATATTTCACAAACAGATAGCACAATTCTATATAATTAGTCCTTTACAACAATAAGATGTCCTACAATAATGTTATGAGAGCAAATCATCAAGTTGTAAGGTGTAAACAGTTTCTTAGTTAATCCAATTATTTATAAATTGCACACCATGATAACCATGGCAGTGTAAAAGTGAGTGAGAATTATTTGAATCATATTTGATCAAATTGCATCATAATCAGAACTCTTCACTAAAATTGCTTTTATGCTGGTTTGATCTGAATACGCTTCCATTTCCTTAAAGTGGAATTGAGATGTTTTAGTCTGGACATGTGGACGCACAGAGGGCTCTCTTTACGTTGTATGTATATGCATTAGGACAGCACCCTGAGCAGCTGTAGCAGGATTAGCCCCTGTGCACCCATCTCGAACACGTCCCTATCTGAATACAGACTGGGGCAGTGTTATGGAGATGAGCATGTGAAGGTCGGGTCAGGGGGCACGTACGAGACGTAGCTATTGTCTTTTTGTCCTTCCATCCCAGTCCCCCATCACCACATCACATCCTCCAGCTGACCGGGCCGGCTGAGCCCAACCCCCTTTAGAGGTCAGAGGCCACTGACTCCTTGCCGTTCACCGGGGTTTGGGCTCAGGACGGGGGTTTGCTTTGTCCGGAATGGAAAAACCTTACAAATATCACATTTATATACACTTGGAGGTACAAAAACATATTAAACCAAATAGATTATTAATGCAACCAAAAATAGCAAATGCTTGAGCAGCTTGACAATATGGATGCGCCTGGGATTACATAGGATAAAAGTATAAACAGTACTAGAATACATCACTTGCAAAATAGTGAAGACTTGAAACCCTCAATTTACAAGAATGAGTTATGAGATCTAAAACTAAAGTTATCAAAAGTCCTCTAGAACAACAGTAAACATTAAACGGTATAAAATAATCTAATAAAGGTAATCAACATTTACAAATAAATATCATGTCAAGAAAAGTAAAAAGTCAGAAGACACAGATATTGGGAAAAACAACCGAAATGCTGACACAACATCTGCTGGCTAAGTTTTGTGTGGTTTAGCAGATTGCACAGAGGAATCACTGCCAACATTGTTTTAACTTTTCTGTAGAAACAACACATTCAAAGTAACAAAACAAGTGACTTACTTAAACAGCATAAAACTGTTAGGTGGGTCACACAGAGCCGGGGGATCATTTTGGTTCCTTGTCTTCGGTCTTCAGTTAAAGCTTACTTCCAAAACAAATCTCCCCAAAAAAACAAAAAGTAAATCCAATCCAAAACTGGCAGTCAAAATTCTTGTGGATTTCTTTGGTGGTAAAGCTACAAAATGTTTCAATGTTCTTAAAGCATTGCTCCTCTTTCATTCCTTGGTCCTGCGTTGGGGCCAGGGAAAGCTGCTGGTCATGTCCAAAGCCACACTCAGAATGATGTTAGCGGGACACTTCTGCCGGGACACACGTCATTAGTTATTCAGCCTCATTGTTGTCACCGGACCTCCACCGGTCACTTGCAGGTTGGTCTCCTCTCAGCCAATCACAGTGCAGCTCTGTAGAGGGGGTGGCAGCTTGACCGTGGCTGTGAGGCACGGTTGATATTCATTTAATCAGAGGGATGCTGTCCTCCCCCATTTCTGGCCGGACTGATGGACCAGCTGTGGCCGGAGCTGGACACTGAGCTAAAACAGGGGCCTGGTGTCGTGACCACTGGATACTTTGATTTATCTAATCATCAATAATACATATTTTCTTGCAAATTTGATTTAGACTTATACCTCCTCAAGAAACTCCTGATTGGTCCACTCTGTGTTGTTATGTCTTTCAGCATCCAACCCAAGGGTTCGCAAACTTTTCAGAGCCTAAAAATACATGACAGATTAAAAGAGCATTTATTCGGTATTTTGGGACAAATAACATCCCAGCTTTAACGAAGATGTTGCCTGTTTGAGTCATAGTGTAGTCTAACCTAATGTCATTTAAATATTGTTTATATCAATCAAATAATGTATTAAATATGATGTTATCTTTCTATATCTATAGTAATAAATGCACTCATGAAGGTGCATTTACAGATCAAACATACAGATAATAAAAACACAACGTTGTGACCAAGGTTAGCAAGTGTTCATAAACAATTATACTGTTATAATTTATATTCAATGGATCAGAATGAGCTAATTTCACATACAGTTTAAAAACACATGGGATTAATTGTGCAAACATACTCCACCAGAGAACCGGGTGTGCACCAGAGACAACTTGGTAAAAATAATAAGAACGTGACAAGTACATAAGAAATATTTGAAGGAACAAACAATACTTAAAACAAGTTCAAGATCAATTATTTTATCAGACAGAAATGTTGAAGTGTTAAATCAATTACCAAACACAGTATACATAATATATTCCAAACAAAATATACATAATTGTTTATATTCACTTCAAAATACAGTTTCTTCAGTTTCAAGAGAGAAGGAGCAGTAAAAATAGACTATTTTGGTTCATGGTTGAAGTATTAGAGGCCTCTCTCACTGTGGACTCGCCGGCAAACACGTGAGGCACAGTGTGGTCCCCCTGATCTCCATCAAAGACTTTTTATATCCAGGCTGAAAACTCATCTATTTAGACTTGCTTTTAACACACACTATTGCAAAGTTGAATCTCTACTAGATTATTCTGCTCTGAAACTGTGACAAGCTGAAAACAATGGATGGAAGGATGAGTAGATAATGAGACAAAAACTTCTATCATACACGTATAGATATACGTAACTATGCATTTTAAGTAAGTACTTGCCTGTTCATGCAGGACCAGACACTGTAATTGTAAAGTATAAATTATGAATTTAATTATAAATGTAGAACAGAATACTCATTGTTAGCCTTTATCCAGGTGCACTTACTGAGGTATTCAGAATGTATTTACTTTTGCTTTGAGCAGCAACATGGCTCTATTTACCAAGCCTGGTTTCCCTACTTATCTCCTATAGTTTTAAATCTACAAGTAAGTTTCTGCTCATTTTAGAACAGAACCTGGCTGCTAGTTACCACCAGTGGATAAAATATATTCTGAAGGATATAGCTCTGAACTACTGGACCAGGTTCAGGACCAGGTGCTTCACACATAACAGTGTGTAACAGTAGGACGTGTTGGGAAGTGGTGTGAAAACTAACCATTAAAAGATAAACTGATTAATCAGATGAAAAAAAAAATACATTTTAATTTATAATCAGTGACAATTTCAGTAAATTCAATTAATTGTTACCTGCTCTATTTCCACTATTTAATTAAAGGAATAATCAGTAGATTACTCGATTGTCAAAATAATCTGATGTAAGGGGGCATTCACACTTGATCCATTTGCTTCAGGCTAGGTTTGTCAACAATGACAATAATTCCCGTTTTGTGTTATTGTACAAATAAAAAAAAACATAACAACGATAAAGGAGTCATTGACAGTGGTTGACTTTATAGTTTTTGGGAAATGTGTCTAATAGTTTCATTGTTGCATTGAAATGTCTATTCATGGTCACTTTTCGATAACAGAAATGATAAACCTTTTGGAAGAAGACCTTCTGGTACTTTGCGCAGGTTTCACTTCATAGTATATGGGCTTGTCTATGAAGTGAAACCCCCGTGAGGCCAATGTTCCCCATCAAGCTTCTGTGGGCTTCTTGCAGTAGTCAGTTAATCATTTTTTTATACAGTAGGCAATAATGAACCGCTGTGCTCATTAATGTACTTTATCTAGATATTTCTAAGGCATCTCAGGCTTTGTTTGTGTGGATGTGACAGCAACAAACAATATCCAGGTCTTATCACCTCAGTCGCTCAACTCACTTCATCTGAGCCACTGAAGTGACCCAGTCCTGTAGATTTGTGAGCATCTGGTGTATTCTGGAAACAGTGGCCGATATTTTAATTATTCTTAAAATAGTTACTAAAACTGAAGTAACATGCTTGTATTTGATCATGACATTGAGGCTTCAAACAAAATTATAGTATAACTATAACCTGGTCCTACATCTGTGTATTACTATTTTCTATTAATAACAAAAGATCAAAATAATCAGTGAAAAACATGCCATTTTCATTCCATGATGTGGTAAATAGTATAATAGATTTAGATCTACACAACCACAACAGTCCAAAGCAACTCCATACAAACATAGTTCATGAAATTATCAATGATAATATTTAAAATTAAAAACAGTTAAAATGGATTGGAATGGAAGATTTTTTTTAAAGTTTATTGAAAGACTAATTAGGGATGTTGTTGAGCAGCCTATTGATCTGTGGGCAACAGCATGATTTCTAATTTTCCATAACAATTTACCTAACATAAAAGAAGACAGTACTCTAATATGAATAAGCAACATGATACAAAATGAAAGTATTTGTTTCCTTTATACCATACATAAGTTGTAAGATAATGTTATTACCTCAACATGACATGCACCTCATGTGTGACGTCGTGAGATTCTTCTGATGAAGGTAATAATACCTTCTCTGTCTGGAAGAAACAAATGACTAAGACAAGATGAACCTTCCTACAATACAAATTGCATGTAATGAAGGTATTCACTATGGCTGTCAGACTTTAGTCTTCTAGTCAATTAATCGTTTGGTAGTGTTTATTCAGAACAAATTATTTTTAACTATTTCTATCTAAATCTATCTATTTCTAAAATGAGAAGGCATACAGCAAATTGGCAAAAGATTTTTCTAAGCTGTTTGGGTCAAAGCTTAGATGAGGTTTGATGAGGTGTTAACAGATTTATGTTATTATGAGTGGTATAGGTGGCAACGGCAATAAGGCAGACTTTAAAGCAAATTTAATATTCAAACCAAATTTAAAGCTCAACAACAATTCTAAACAATTTCTAAATTGTTCTCTTTTAGAAAAATTGTCTTTTGAGTTTGGGTTCGATAGGTAAGAGTTGAAATCTTCCACTGGTTATATACACACACTGACATACACACTCTGTTTACACATCTTACTTGGCTTGGGGGTGATATTTGTGGGTTCATTTTCAACCCCTCATATAAAAATTATTTTACCCTATGGACACACACAGATATTGGCATTCACCCAGTCAGTCCATTCATTAACATGATGAAATAAACCATCTCAAAGTTCACCCTCTGTCTGCACCCTTCTTTATAGTGGAAATCCTGTGGTCATACAGCCCTGTTCTGCATTTGTAAATCTCTGTTAAGTTACATTCTCAATTAAATCTGACCATTACTACGTTCTTGAAATTAAATGCAACATTGAATGTAAATGTTACCTTTACCTCAGGTAGCTGAGTGGTTAGCACTTTCGCTTCTCAGCATGAAGGTCCTGTGTGTGAGTGGAGTTTGCATGTTTTGTATAGGCTCCTCCAGGTGCTCCGGTTTCCTGTACCACCAAAAACATGTAGGTAAAATCCTCCACCTCTCAGCAGTCCTGACCAAGCCGAGAGTCAATATTTGGAGATGGGCCCTGGTGCTCCTGCCCAGAGGCAATGGATGATGGGTCAAATGCAGAGGACCACTTTTTACCTACAGGGACAATAAAGCATAACTTAACTGTTTTCTCTTCTGTTATCTTTATGATTATTTCCATTTTCATAGCCCATCACGCATATACAAAGTACAAGATTGTTTTTGTTTTTTTATAAAATAAAAAATACAATGTTATTGTTACTTCTTCCACTGCTGCTGCATAGCCTCAGTTCTCAGGGCTCCAGGGGAAAGCTCCAGTTGCCCCAGAGAGTCCCACAAAGAGTCCCACAGAGAGGCTCACAGAGAGTCCCACAGAGAGGCCCCCAGAGAGTCCCACAGAGAGGCCCCCAGAGAGTCCCACAGAGAGGCCCAGAGAGTCCCACAGAGAGGCCCACACAGAGTCACACAGAGTCCCACAGAGAGTCCCAGACAGAGTCCCAGACAGAGTCCCAGACAGAGTCCCACACAGAGTCCCAGACAGAGTCCCAGACAGAGTCCCACACAGAGTCCCACACAGAGTCCCACACAGAGTCCCACACAGAGTCCCACAGAGAGGCTCACAGAGAGTCCCACAGAGAGGCCCCCAGAGAGTCCCACAGAGAGGCCCCCAGAGAGTCCCACACAAAGTCCTACAGAGAGTCCCACAGAGGCCCCCAGAGAGTCCCACAGAGAGTCCCACAGAGAGGCCCACAGAGGCCCCCAGAGAGTCCCACAGAGAGTCACACAGAGAGTCCCATAGAGAGTCCCATAGAGAGTCCCAGACAGAGTCCCACACAGAGTCCCACACAGAGTCCCACACAGAGTCCCACACAGAGTCCCACACAGAGGCCCACACAGAGTCCCACACAGAGTCCCACACAGAGTCCCACACAGAGTCCCACACAGAGTCCCACACAGAGTCCCACACAGAGTCCCACACAGAGGCCCACACAGAGTCCCACACAGAGTCCCACACAGAGGCCCACACAGAGTCCCACACAGAGGCCCACACAGAGGCCCACACAGAGTCCCACACAGAGGCCCACACAGAGGCCCACACAGAGGAGCAGAACGCGGACACGTGAGGCCCACGAGCGCAGTCACACGCTCGCGGAGGTGGGGGCAGTGCAGCGCGAAGTGAACGCTGCTTTCGCCGAAGAACACAACAGGCGCAGCGTCAGTCCTCCGGGAGAAGGGTGTTGTCAACATCAAACTTATGATTGGACCTAAATCAGCGTAAATGTAAGTGATATGTGTCTGTGAGTCTTTCCCTTTCCATTGTATAGACTGTCATAACTGAAGAACCGGTGTATCTGACTATTTCCGGTCACTGACAGGTTAGCATCCTTAGCTGTTGAGCTAACATGGAGCAAAACAGTGTTCTTTTTTATGTTATTGTTTGAGGAATCGGCTGGTGATGATATCAGCAGAGGATGTCCTTACATGTGTCGTCTCTTCCTTTCGTATCTGCACTGTGTGAATGTCTTAGTTGTAAATTGATAGTATTGGGATAAATAACTGAGCAAATACGGGGATAGGCAAAACACATTTTTAACTAACGCCACCTCATTACAATTATGGCATTCTTGTTCCTAGATGGTCAATGCAAGTGCTTGTGTATTCTTTCTACTTGACATCATCTCTTGTTATTCTTTGCAGTAAAACTCAGCAAAAGCCTTGGGCACCACCAGTGGCACAATCATGTCTTATCGTCCTGGTCCACGGGACTTCCACTCGCTCACACAGACATGCAGCTCCAACATCCAGAAAATCACACAGAATAGTAAGTACCCAAAAAATAAAGTGTTTTCTGGACAGAGGAATGTGGTGCAAATGGGCGTTACATTGTGAACATTACATTGTGAACATTACATTGTGAACATTACATTGTGAACATTACATTGTGAACATTACATTGTGAACATTCAAATAAATAATGCATTAATTTCTTACAGCTGCACAAATAAAAAGTATGGTCAACCAACTGGGAACCAGTCAGGATACCACTACACTCCAAGAGCGGCTGTATGTAAACTCTGTGTGATCATAGTAATTGTGATACATATATTGTGCTATGGAATAAAATTGCATAGATGGTAATAGTAAAATTGACTTTCCAGGCAACAGATACAACACTCTTCCAATCAATTGGCCAAAGAAACCAACAAGCACCTTAAGGAACTAGGCTCTATTCCTCTTCCGTTATCTCCATCTGAACAGGTAATAAGGAGATATTTGGATGAAGGAATTCATAATTGTAATGCTTCTTTGACTTTTAACCTTTTTGGGTGTTATTCTTTCATTGCTGTTACCTCCCCATTTCATCTCTGTCAGAGGCAGCAAAAGATCCAGAGGGAACGACTTATGAACGATTTTTCTGCAGCTCTGAACAACTTCCAGTCAATACAACGCCTTGCAGCAGAGAAAGAGAAGGAGTCTGTTGCTCGAGCAAGAGCAGGATCCCGTCTTTCAGTCAGTTTAAGTTGATATACTATAACCTGTTCAATAATGTGCAAAATGGGTTGTCATTACTTTCTTTCTTGTTACAGGCTGATGATCCCTTTCGCGATGAAAAACTTGTGTCATTTGACAGGTAGAATATTTTTGATTATAGGTATATATTATGATTGTATAATACTACAAGAAGAAATAAATGACAGTAGCGCATGAATGGCTACAAAAGGTAACCATCTGTGACAATAAGTTTCTTCACCCTGCAACTAAGCAATATATTTACCCAAGACTTTAGTATACATGAAATGTGGTCGTTGTTCATATAGAAGTATTCTAAAATTACTTCTGCAACGCAATTGTGGTTTCAGATAGTAGGGTTATTAGAATGTATGTACTTACCATACTCATAGCGAATTATGACACCATGCCACTATACTATATTTTTAGACATTGATTGTGAATTTTGATACCTTATTTTGGTTTGTTTAAAGCCAGGAAGACTGGGGCCAGATGACTACTCAGTCAGAAGAAGTAGCCATTACAGAGGAAGACCTGGAGCTTATCAAAGAGAGGGAAACCAACATTCGACAGCTCGAGGTATGTCTACATCCCTAACAGCGCCAGGTTTACAACTGTAGGTAGGCCTCCAGATCTGTAGGTGGGGACGTGATGATCCTAAGGAAGGAAAAAATCTAAAACTAAGTATAAACATTAAAACGGTACTTTAAGGCTATCATTTGTTTAGTATAATCATAATATTTAAATTTTGATACAAAATAATGATTGGAGAGGCTAAGAACAAATGTGGCCAAAACAAAAAAGTGGTAGGCCTCGGCCCACCCAGGCCTACCCCTTGGTGCTGCTAGTGGTCTACATGCTTCATTATTCAATAATGTTTGTTTTAAATTAAATAATCAACTCACAGCAAATATTCTGAAATTAAGCTGCAATTAAATATCATTAATATTGTATATTTTCTTCATACGCATTGACATTGTTCATATTTCTCTTTAAGTCTGATATTTTAGATGTCAATCAAATCTTCAAAGATCTGGCAGTGATGATCCATGACCAAGGGGAGATGATTGGTAAATAACATTTATATTACTTCTACAGACTATCTATTGTTACTGCTAAGAATGTTTTTTATATGTTATTCTTTCTGGTCCTCTGCAGATAGCATCGAGGCCAATGTTGAGAATGCAGAGGTGCATGTGGAGAGAGGAGCAGATCAGCTTCAGCGAGCTGCTCTTTACCAAGTGAGTTAAAACCAGTTTGAAGAAGGCTGGAAATGTCCCCATTCAACTCATTAATACTGTGTTTCATTTACAGCAAAAGTCTCGCAAGAAGATGTGTATTTTGGCAGTGGTTTGTGCAATAATAATAATTGTATTGAGTCTGCTGATCTGGTGGGCAGCAAAATCATGAATGCATTTGAACAGATTCATTGCCACAATTATTTGCACCTCTACATTGACTTGACTGTTGTCTTAACGTTTGCCAGAAGATATATATTTTTTGATTATCACTTATTGGAACTCTAATGCTTTGTTGTGATCAAGGCTACTTGATTGGGCCTCCACTGCAAGAAAATGTATGATTTACTTTTTTTGTCTTTTTCATTATTTTATTTACTGCACTTACTGCCATTGTTTTGATTCTAAAATGCGTTGAAATCTGATTATAGAAAAGTAAAACAAAAAAGAATGCGGGAATGTGCAGTGTGCACATATCTGAATTGATGTGTATTTTAACTAGACAATGGAGATGTCACATTACACAGAAGATATAAAATGAATGTACCTGTAATGTTATAAATAATGTACAATATGGAAGTTATACTTGTGACCATTCACACTGTTGATACTACATTCTTGTTGCATTTAGCATATTAGTTAAGGTATCTATACGCAAACATTCAACTTGATTCCTTTAACATTTTCTGCTTAATAAATGTCTGATAAGGTAATCTCATTTGTTATCAAACACTCTTCAGCAAGCTCTTTTACTATAATCGTGGGTGGTGTGATCACACAACCTCGAGGTATCATATATTAAATTAATGATAATATGATGGTCTTGAACATTTTTAAACAACGTCACACATACATGAAAAAAGTTTAAATATTTAATTGGTTTGACACCGCTTATTATTATAGATCCATGTTTGACACTATTGAACCAGAGGAAGGCGCTGTTCCAGGTCTCGGTTTATAGATGACGTCAAAACTCTGCGACTCAACACCAAAACAATCGCGCACTGAACTCATGGATCTTTCACACTGAACTCTCCTCTGCGTGTTGTGGTTCTACCTTTATCAACTATCAACTCATTTTTTAATAAAAATGCCGGTGTGCAAGTTCTTCCTCCAAGGCCGTTGTGCTTATGGTGAAAAGTGTTGGAACGAACATCCCAGAGACGGTAGAGGAGGTGGCGGTGGCTACAACAGCAACAGCCGCGCACCTCCGCCCCAGCAGCAGCCCCGTGGTGGTGGTGGTGGTGGTGGTGGTGGTGGAGGAGGAGGAGGAGGAGGAGGTGGTGGTGGAGGAGGAGGAGGAGGAGGAGGAGGAGGTGGTGAGTCTCGCCTTATTACATCGGTAAATGATGTGAATGAATATTTATTTGTAGTATGGGACTTTGCACGCCATCGTTAGTCTGTTCTCGTTCACAACATAATATGTGCTATTATGTGGTTGCAGGATTTGGTAACAGAGTTTGGGTGAATCCCTCCCAACAGCGAGGGGGATACGTGCAACCCTCGTCTTTTAGCAACCGGGAAAATGATCAGTGGAGCCGCAGAGGAGACTCGGACTGGGGAGGCGGTGGAGGAGGAGGCTTTGGGAGAAGAGAAAATGTCAAAAGCTCTGAATTCAGCTTTTCCCAAAATCGATTTTCAGCCCTGGACTCTCCGAGCACATTTGATAAGGGTGGAAGAGCTCCTCCAACAGCAGGCGATGATGACAGCAATGACAGAAAATGGTTTGTGTTTACTATATTTTTACCACAGAGGTGTATGATAAAAAAAATAGCATGATAAATATAGTGAGGATACTTGTGTTTCCTTCAATCACTCATAGATTTTGTTTTGTTTAGTGAAACCATTCAAAGCGACATGGATGCCTGGGAAAGCTCAGGGCAGTGGGGATTTTCAACTTATTCTCATTCTAAAAATCCTCTCTCTGGTTTGTATATTTTGCATCCTGCCAGTGCCACATACACGATTTGTAAATGAGTTCCCTCTGAAATTTAACATTTCTTCCAGGATTTTCTGATCTTTCACCAGAAGAGTTAAGATTGGAGTATTATACATCAAGAGCCTCTGGAAATGTGCAGAATTATGTAAGTCCATATTTTTCCTAATCCTAATGCCCTTAATTTTTATCTTATAAGTGTGTACTCTGAAATGTAGATCAACGGTGTGAACCAGTTACTCAGCCAGTGGAGAAGTAGAGTTCAAGAACTTAAAATAATGAATGCCTCGACAAAAGCAGCTTTGGTGAGTCACTGACCACAGTACATTTCTGCTGTTTCCGAATTACATTAGTCAAGGCTTCCATTATTGCAGATAAGAGAACTAAACAGCACTGCACCCCAACAATCCTCTGTAGGCTTTGGTTCAGTAGAGACTGCTTCAGCATTTGGGAGCAAAGGTAATGGGTAATAATTAAAACATTTTCTAAGCTTCCCCGTGTAGAGGTCTTTACGTTTTTTGTTTGTTTTAGGTTTTGGGGCGCCTACCCAGGGAACTAATTTTAGTTTTGCGGCCCCGGTGACTGGGTTTGGCTCTGCATCAGTTTCGTCAGCCTCTGGGTTTGGTGCTGCCGTGTCAGCCCCTCCTCCCTCCGGATTTGGTGCTGCCGGGTCTGCACCTCCTCCCTCCGGATTTGGTGCTGCCGGGTCTGCACCTCCTCCCTCCGGATTTGGTGCTGCCGGGTCTGCACCTCCTCCCTCCGGATTTGGTGCTGCCGGGTCTGCACCTCCTCCCTCCGGATTTGGTGCTGCCGGGTCTGCACCTCCTCCCTCCGGATTTGGTGCTGCCGGGTCTGCACCTCCTCCCTCCGGATTTGGTGCTGCCGGGTCTGCACCCCCTCCCTCCGGATTTGGTGCTGCCGGGTCTGCACCTCCTCCCTCTGGATTCGGTGCTTCACCCGCTCCTTCAGCTTCCACGTTTTCTTTTGCTGCCCCAGACAAAACCTCCACAGCAGCACCTTCAGGTTTTGGCTCTGCTCCTGCTTTTGGCCCTGCAACTGGTTTTGCATCTGCTGCTTTTGCCAGTGGAGCCTCAGACGGTCTGTTTTCTATTGAAAGCAGTTTATCTTCAGAAGAACTGAATCAATTCAAAGCTAAAAGGTTTACACTTGGTCAGATCCCACTCAAACCCCCTCCAGCTAACCTTCTTGTAGTCTAAAGACTCTTAGTAGTACAATTTAAAACTCCATAATATGTATCCCTGCCGTCTTTTTCTTAAAAAAAACAAAAAAAAAACAAAAAAAAGACTGCAGGCATTTTCTAAAAATCTACACAGAACTCTGTTATATTTGTGTGACCAGCCCCCTACACATGGAGCGTGTAGGGGGCTGGACAATCACTCCTTCACAATGACTAATCACTTCATTGATTCACTGCTGTATCAACAATACTTGTAAGTATGATTTTAATAATCAAACGGTAGCAATATTAAACAATCAGGAATTGTGTAATTTTTCTGTATTTTCAATATTAAAACATTTATCTAGTCTTGTATGTAGTGATGAAGCTGTCTGTTCTGGGGGAAAAAAGTAGGAAAGTCACCTTCAGGACCATCTTCTTTGCGCTGGTCAGAATGAAAAACTATCTTCTTACAGCAGCTGACTCAAGCCTTCACACAATTGTTGTCCTCCTTGACCTCAGTGCTGCCTTTGATACCATCTCTCAGGCGGTTTTATTAGAACATTTGGCTTACACTGGGGTCACAGGCACGGCTTTAAAAAGTGTTTGTACTGGTCAAAAACGTCAACATCAGCATCACCACTTTACCACGAAGTACCCCAAGGTTCGTGTTGGGTCCACTTCTGTTTTTAATCCACACTCTCCTTTTTGGCAATATTATCCATCTGTACTAAATCTAAATCCCCACCCTTCAGTGTTTGCATTGACTGAAGCCTGGTTCCCTTGTCTTCACACGTCAAAAGTTTACGTGTTTTACTGGACTCCACTCTTTCATTCACAGCTCTTATCAATAATACCATTCGCACAGACTTTTTCCACCTTCGGAAGATCTCCCAACACCACCCATCTCTCACCCAGCGCTCCACCTAAGTTGTTGTTCATGCATTAGTCAACTCTTTTGCTCGGATCACATCACTCCATTGGCTCCCCCTGCCCAGCTTAGCTTCAGAGGTTAGTCAGGACCTGGCTTTCACTGTATACTTTTAATATATACCGTAACAATGTAACTTTTCAACACTGTGGTACCTGTACACAAGTGCAAGTCACATCGCAGATTGTATGTAATAAATTAATTGGGAATTATCATTAAAATAACGTGTACTTTCGGAATCTTTTGGGGTACAGTTTGGTTCTGTCATCTGTCTTTTATTTAGACAGAAAGTGAACAAGAGGAACAGCCCAGAGCTCCCAATAGTGACTCACAAGCCTCTTTTGTACAGATATCATGTTATCTGTAGCTTCATACTGTCAGAATAAGCTATATTTATGATACACACAAAACAGGTTAGGTAATTTTAACCTTTTTTGCCATGTATAATAAAGGGTTTTAAAGATTTTTGCAACTTTCGAGTGCCGTCTTCTGTCTGAACTGTCAACATTGGGCCCTCCCCTCAAGAGCACCATATAGTTTAACTTTTTTCCTTATTTCATTGTTACATCCATGAAGCACCTCAGCCCCGTCTGTTTTCAAAAAAGGTTAGGTACCGCAGCTTTAATCGCTCCAAGATATTACGCGATCCTGTTTGCTGTCAGAGTTGGAGAGGCCTTGAGGCTGCACTTCCTGCCTGTATCCACCGAGGGGCGCGCTCCTCACCCCGCCCTCTCCTCCCTCTCTTCAGCGCGCTCCAGCTTCAGCCTCAGCCTCAGGAGCCAGTGTCCAGGAGCTCCACCATCCATCCGCACGTCAAGCAGAGACATCCACCACAAAACGATGACAGTGATACACAGGGCACAACAGCAAAGTATTATCTGAGATCTCCGCGCTGCGCACTGCATCGCCGCTCCCCGGGTGAGTGCTTCTGTCTCCTTTATTCCAACAAGATCCGCGTCCTTATAAGAACATCCTGGAGACCGGATCTACACCACAAAACCTTTAGGTGGTCACATTTGAAAGGCCTCTCCTTGCTCTTACATTGTTATCGCAGACATTGGCAGCATGAATAATGGTGTATACAGCCATTTCCATTTCGATTACGCACATTTTCTGAAACTCTTGCTTTATACATGTACTGTAGTTAAAAGATGTCTCCTCAGTCATTTGCATTGTTATCTGACTGCACTGTATAGCTCCTGCTCAAGAGGAACTACCCCTCTCACACAAGTTAGTAAAATAAACATGCATTTATAGAATTTATTCAGTCTTAAAATTATATATGTATGATTATAAGTAATAATCACAACACGCTTGAAGGTATTTCATTGGAAGTGAAATGGACTCATGCGCACACAATATCAGAAGGCCTGCATGCCTCAACCACATCACTCGCTTTTTGTGATTAAAAAGTAATAGGCTGCAGTTTGTTGACACACACCCCTTTTTCCAAGGCAAGGCAAGTTTATTTGTATGGCACAATTTCAGCCACAAGGCAACTCAAAGTGCTGAACAAAATCACTAAAATCATAAATAATCACAGTACAGTACAGTCCATAACACATTTACGTATTACTTCAGACAACAAGTGGTGTATTTACCTCCCTTCCCACCACATAATCGTCCATGTGCATGCCATGGTCTCAAGTAGAGTTCTGAATATAAATATCATTTTTAAAGAATTGTATTGTTACAAATCATATCGTTTGAAGAAGACTAAAATCATATAAGAGTTGTGCTGCTTGGCTCCGAATCAAAATGTTGGAAAAATCAAATGTATTGTTACCTGCTGATTCTCAACCATAGTTTCTACATCTGGTCTCTGTTTGAAATGTATATAGACCATAAGGGGCAAAGCAAGTTTCTATGTATAGAGTTCAAATACAAGGCAACTGACAAGAAATTAAAATAATATATAATCACAGAATATACATCAAGATAAAACATTAACAAACGTGGTTCAAAAAGGGGTTGGATGAAGCAGAATCTTATATAATCCCAAACCCATCTATCATGCATTCAACACAATACCACACATTAATTGACACCATGTAGTAGAATTTAAAAACGCACAGAAATGGTGTTGTACAAAACAAACAAGAAGTGAGTGAGATACACATTGATTGTTAAAGTAGTTATGAATTCAGGAATATATATGTCTTTGTTTCCTCTTGAACTTGATGATGCGCATTTCTATCATGGAATAAGTTTTGTGAATTTGGATGGCATCTTAGAACAGGACTCACAACACCATCATAACCCTCTGAGCAAAATGAAACCTTTGCGTTTCCTAATACTATTATGTAAAACCGTGTTATAGCATTAGTCCTGTGTCATATATGAAGCAGGCCAAGCTCATGCTGAGGTGTGAGGGCCCAACAGATGGTACTCAATGCTACTACTGCTGCTGGGAAAATGCTCCTGTGTACTGTAGCTCCTATCATGAACTTTAACAGTATGCTAAGGCTAAGGCTTTAGGAGTTCAATCTTCCCTCTGATCGAAGTTTAACCTTTGCATTCTGATCGTGAACAACATTGTCTTGTGAAAATGTTATGGCTTGTTCTTCTGCTGGTAACCTTCTTTGAAATGCTGCTGTCACTCTGAAGAAAAGGGCAAATTTGAGTCTGCGAGCCGCAACCATCTCGTAAAATTGTCATCCTCGGAAATGATTGCAGCTTTTATGATTTTGTAAATAAGTAATATTTATTTATAGATTTGGCATTTTATCTTTAATTAGAATTCAGGGTTTGATTTTGGAATTGTAAAAAAAAGAAAAAATTAAACATGGGTGATTTATTATGAGGAAAAATCACCACAAATTACAAATGTTCATGATTACTGTATTTATTGTAAAAGCTGAAAAAAACAATTATCTTTCATCTCTGTTGTCTAACCTACTTTATCCAATCAAACTTCCTAAATGATAATGGTTACTTCATGCCTGAGAAAACAAGTGAAACTATAATCTTAAAATGGGAGTTTTTGTAGTGAATATTGTATTCTTGATTTACATAATATACCAATGTTGAATTATAAAATGTATTGATTCCTTTTTTAAAGAAAGAACAAAATCTCTTGCTTGGAATGAGTTCAGTATTCCAGTAGTACTGACCAAGCTCTGCATCAACGACTGGAGATGAATCCTTGGGTACAACCTGTCAGGAGCAATCTGTCTCCTGTCTGGTGCACAATGCGGTAGTCTTGCACAGTTTTTCCTATGTGGTTTTACTGCAAATGGCAAATCAATTCTTGAAATCTTGAATTTACCATCAGTTTTATTGAAATGCACCGTTTCATACTGGTGAATATTCTGTAACTTAAACAAAACATTAGCCTTTGTTGAAAGGCTAATGCATACTGGTAGCAAGTTTACTGTATGTTGCTATGGTTTCTAGTGCTTGTTCTTCTCTACTCTTTTCATTTCAAAATTAAAACATAATCACATAAAAAATGACATACAGAAAAAGTCACAGAGTTAGGAACATGAACAGTGTAGACAATTACACTTCCAAAACTTGCGAGTTCTTGTGTTAAGGATCGTCGTGACTTCCTCTGGTCTTTCTCTCAGCGTTGCTTCGACTCTTGGGCCATCCACCAGCATCACCATGAGCAGTGTCGGTGGTCTGAACGTGGTGCGCTCCTCCAGCATCTCAGGGGCCATGTACAGCCTGGAGAAGAGCCCCAGCAGCGGAGGCCCGGACACCGCATCGCTGTCCGGAAACAAGAAGCGGAGGTCCAGCCTGGGGGCCAAGATGGTGGCTATCGTGGGTCTGTCGCAGTGGAGCAAGAGCACGCAGCAGCTCAATCAACAAGGTTAGTGTCGAGGACCCATGGGAACTGTTTATTGCTTATGTTGCGTTCACACTTTTGGTCTTGCTCACTTGGGACAGAAAATGTGTTACTTGTGGATGTAAAACCACTCAACAAGTGAATATGTATTTAAGTCGACTGTATATAGATGGACAACGCTAACCCCTTGCTCAATGAAACTCTGTATATACGAGCTCATGGACAAAAGTCTTTCTCCAACTCACACAAAAGTAAACTCTTCTAGCTCTTCAACCGCTTGTGTCACACTTACTATTTTGGGCTAAACAAATCTGTGGTTTAGTCAGTGCTTTCTATGATCCTGGTTTTTATTACGACACTGTCTTTTTAAATCTAGATATGAGCTATAAGGATTGACCAATTGGATTCCTTCATTCTCAGGGGAAGCTCCAGCTTGACTTAGCAACCATCTTAGCAACACGTTTGTTTGTATCAGTCACCGTAATCACAAAGGCCCATGTAGGGACCACAGACTGTAAATTTTAACGGACATAGTCGCGCCTATCTCCGCCATTGAAACTTATGTGCCACCACTTTCGCTGTCTGTGGCCAGTTTCAAAATGGCTGCTGGGGCTGGAAAATGTGAAAAAACTCATTTGAGCACGCGTCAGCCCCATTTATTTGACGAGTACCTTAAAAATTCCACAGCAACTAAACTAGACTGGTCCGAAAAAATACACTACCCTCAGCATTGACATACATGTGGAATGTAGCGTTGAAACCAAGAGCCAACTTTTGGACCATCCTGTAAAGATGTTTTTGAGAGGTAAGAAGATGCTTTACATTAGCATTGGATAATTCCTATTCCACACAGGGCGCTCTGTGTACTGGGTGGCATCTCTGACTGCCGCCCCCCCAACCCAGAAATGGACTAAAGGGAAAAAGATGGATGGATGGATGGATGAAATTCCTATTCCAGGTCCACCCCCATCGGCCCGGGGTGGTATAGCAAGCATATCGGCGCACGTCATTTTGGACATTTTTGAGCCGGGACCCGCCCCCACTGACAGGGAAATTGGCTCCATCTAGCCCATGTTCAAATTAGCTTCTTTCACATTCAGCCAACACTATGGTGACGTCCACTCTTAATGTACGGTCTATGGTCAGTATACATCTCTTTTTTTCAAGTGAACCAGACTTGGTCCAGTTAAAGTGAAACAGACCAACAAGTGTGGACACGCCCTAAATAAAGCACATCACCCCTAACCATTCAGATGGTGTTCTTTAATGCACTGGCCTAATATTGAAAAACTGTTGCTGAAAAACCATACATGCACTTGTTTGACTGATGGAAAAATTTCTTTACGTCTTGTTTTGTGGACTGAGATTCTAAATGTTGTCAGCTCAGTATGTTCCTTGTGTGTGCCGTCGGTAAATGTGAGCGATCGTGTCCTGCCCCGATGCGACCACTTTTCTGTCCTCGGTCTGGGTCTCTCCCCTGGTTGCTTACATTCCTGTTGTACATGATGTTTTGTCCTGGGGTGAACTGATCCCAAACCTTTTATAGAACAAACAGCGCGTCCCTGTCGGCCGCTTAAGTCATTTCTCACTTTGTTGGTGTTTGGAGAAGTCTACTATGACCCGATCATCATTGCACTTGACAAATAGCAGCATTAATATCAGGATCAAATGTGCTTCGTTACACATAATAATTTTGACTTTATGTACATCACTTAGCAATGTGTGTCAGTTTGTTCTTACTTTTGAGTATTTTCAGTTATACTCATTTACTGTCAAGCATTGATGGTCAGAGGATAACATTGGCTTCTATGGCATGTTATACATCCCATTTATTTTCTCAAGAAAACAACCACAAATTGTGTTATTTTGTCATAAACATGAAACCGTAAGTGCAGTTATTATTAGTTTTATAAAAGAAGAAGAACGGATTTATCTTTGGTCCAGTTTTGGGTCAATCCGAACGTAACTGAACTCATTTTGTTGTGAAAAATCTACCAGAAAATAAGATCCAATCCCATGTTAACTAAAAGTAATCCTTTGGTAATACACATACTGTAGACTACTCTGTGCCTTGTTTACATTATGTCATCTACATTAGTCAGCGATGACATAATGGACCAATACCAATACTGCAAGTGATTTTAGTGTAAAATGTGCAACACATCAATAAAACAAACAAAAAATCAATATACTGTATGGTGTAAAAAATAGGGCTGAGGTTTGCAACAGTTTGTGTTGCTGTAGTCTCAGAAAATCTATGGAAACTGCTCCATGTGCAGAAAGCAGAGCAAGAAACAAGGTAAAAGGCAAAGACATTTTCAAGTGATGCAATAAGAATATTTACTGGGTGATAACAACCCAGAAGCTAAGAGAGATTTCCATAAATACAGTTCTTGCAGGATAAATAACTGAAATAACACAAATGGAGCCATGTTGTGAGTTAGCTGTGATTTGGGTCTTTGTCGGTCCATATTGTGTAACTGCAGATATACAAAAGCCGCAGTATCTAGATAACAAAGCAGAATCAGTCCATCCTTAGTCTGAAGTAGAGCTGCAACTATCGATTATTTTTACGATTAATCGAGTAATCGCTTGGCTGTGAATTGTGTAGAAAAAAAATATTTTTCATCACAAAAAGCTAAAGTGGCAACACTCGAGGATGTATTGATGGCGTAAACTTAAAGTAAATGTTTGTAACAGGCTCTTTGTGCTAATTCTGCTATCTGATTGGATGAGACAGACAGATATTCATGAAATTATAAAAACAAAGTCGGTTTTAATCAAAAATACTACATTTTCATGTCATTTTTGCTCTGTTTGAGTTCGTGTGAACCAGAAAACGATTAATCGATTACTAAAATAGTTGTCGACTATTTCAATAATCGATTAGTCGTCGATTAATCGATTAGTTGTTTCAGCCCTAGTCTGAAGGCATAAATATTCACCAACCTACAGCATGGAAGGTTTTCTGTGACCTGAAAGTTTGAAAATAGCAGCTTCACAGTCTAACAAGCAGGAAGTTATTTCTCCAAGTTCTTGCAAGAATACAGTGTCGGAAAGTTGCACTGTACGCGTCGTTCTGCCACTCGCTGTCGCGCTGCAGCTTGTGGTCCACATTAAACCTGTGAACAACAGCATTGTCCATCTGACGCGGCCCTGCTGCCTGCAGCTCTACACACCGCTCTTCTGAGAAGGCCGCGCACATTCTTAGAACTTCATCAAACGCTTTAGAGCAACGACACAGCCACATTTAGTTCCTTCAGAACCACAATGTCACTTGTGTTCCACACCACTGAACTCTGGCTGAACTAATACAAACTGCATTCAGCTGAGATAGAAGTCAAATAAGAACACTTTTATTCCTTCCATAGCCGTGTTTCAACTAGGGCTGTAACAAGTTCATCAATTAAGCGTATTATTCAAGTAATTGTCAACTAATTAATAGTTTTTGCATGTTTTTATGAGTCAATCAAACAACCCAATGTGGAACAAGTTATCTCTATGTTGTCCAGGGGCATCACTTGAGCTTTGTTCTGGTCAAATGGATACAAAATACCATCACTGACCTTTCAGGATCTAAACAACTAATCAAATGGGCGGCACGGTGGCTGAGTGGATAGCACTCTCGCCTCTCGGCAAGAAGGTCCTGGGTTCAAATCCTGGTCGGACTTTCTGAGTGGAGTTTGCATGTTCTCCCCGTGTCTGCGTTGGTGTCCTCCGGGTACTCCGGTTTCCCCTACCACTAAAAACATGCTCAATAGGTCTGGCATGTGCCTCCTGTACTGGCGACTCGGTGGAGTGAGTGGACAATTGCCCAAAAATAACAATTGTAAACCGCTTTGTGACTCTGGTTTGTGAAAGGCGGTATATAAATAAAGATTATTTACTACTTACTTACTTAATCAAAAGAATAATCAGTTGACTAATCTATCACCAAAGTAATCGTTATTTATAGCCCTAGTTGCTACGTAGGCCAACAGTTCAAGAACAGTGGCTGTCTAAGGAGCTCCCAAAAATGATGATTTATTATTGATGATAGTTTAAGAGTAGAACCATGACTCATTTTTTCACTGCCAAACAGATGTTAGACAGAATGTAATGTAACCACTGTAGATTCTGTCAAAGTTTTTGAAAACATGTGAATATATTCACCAGCGACAGAGTACTGCAAGGTTAGATCATTGTTTTCCAACCAGGGGTACGGGAGTACGGGAGTTATGGGAATGATTCGATTTTATAAGAATCACAATTTGAATAGAAATGGTATTGAAATAATTCAATGAAATACCAAGAGACAATTTTCAAATATTAGGCACAGATACAAAAAATACAATACAAAAAAAGTTAATTCAAAAGTGAACTCAAACTGAAAATGTAACGTATGAATTTCTGATATTTGAAGTATTCTTTTAATAGCTCATATCTGCAAAATAATCATGGTAGTAATGTATCTTTTGTTTTGATAGAGTCTCTGTAGATGGCTTCCCTATCCAGGTACTTCATACTCTAATCTTGTGAAGAGTTAAGTAGGCCATGATCGAGTGGACTCATGACGCACACCAGCCCTTTGTCTTGGTCCAAATCCAAAGCAACACATACGCGCTATTTAAACGGCCCACTGTATCTCTGTGCGCCTCACCTTCTTCAGCTCGTTTTGTAACAGACAGCGTATTTTCAAGCTCCTCTGTGCTATTTATTGCTTTCTATTATTAGTTTTGGAGAAGAGAAAGCACAGCAGTGTCTCAGGTCTAACGGATGACTCACTCTTATCTCCTGAGCAGGATAATCCCAGAATGCAAAGACAAAGCCTACCTCCTCGTGTATGTGAGAACACTAATATACAACAAAGAAGTATTCATGTACTTGAACTGCAGTGCGCCCATGGTGGGAGATCATCAGGCTCTGGACCAGACCAAAAATAGCATCGTTATGGCTGCCGACATGCTTCAGACTTTAAGACCAAAGAAATGTATATAATTATGTAACTTTTTTTGTAATTAAAATATTTGAGTTTTTTTTCTTTA